CTGCCACCGCCAGCATCACCGCCATTACCACTGCCACCGCCAGCATCACCGCTATTACCACTGCCACCACCAGCACCATTCCTGCCTTGCGGTGCCAGTTCAGGATTTCTGACTGGAGCCCAACACCTGTATTTTTGGCCCCACCTTAATGGAGCACTTGGCCATTGGGGGCAGCAGGAGTGTTGAAGCAAAGCACAGAGCCCACAAGATGGGTTTTGTGGACAGTCACTGGCAGTTGAACCATCTTCTTAACATTCCTCAGGCCATGAGCTGAGAACTGCGATGAACTGTGAAATCCACATGGTTCTCTTCTCAGAGGAAAACAGCAAACGTTTGGTAGGAGAGCTCCCAGGGCTGGAAGGGAAGCTGCTGGGATGTACTTCATAAGGACACGGGGAAGAGGGTGCACGCTGAGGGCTGCTGCAGATGGAGCCAGGGCGGGGCAGATGGGGCAGGCAGGGTCGTGGTACCCAACAGCCTGAGTGTCTCCAGCCGCTCACCAGGAAGGTGGTGAGAACCCTGGGCTTCCGTGGCAGACTGTGTGATACCAATTGTCAGTGGCATGCATGACCTAGCAGTGTCTTAGTGCCTGACTGCCCCCAGGAACATGGAGCAGTCCTGTTTAAGGAAGGAAATACAAGGCACACTAGTCTGGCCAAAAAGACGTTTTTAAAAAGGAATTCTTGGCATCTAGATGTAGAGAATTAGCAACTTCACATTTTTTTGATGATGTTGAATAGTATAGTTGGAGCTTCACCCATCACTTCTAAAAAGCAAAACTAAGTCGACTTGTTTCTTACTGTCGTACAGGGATATGGGATTAGAACTATTCAGAACCCACATTATTAGTGATAAAATGGTTCAGAGTAAAACCATCGATGGAATCCTGCTGCTGATCGAGCGCGAGAGGAGCGGCGAGGCCGTGGACCGGAGCCTGCTGCGGAGCCTGCTGGGCATGCTGTCCGACCTGCAGGTGAGCACGCTGCGCTGGAAGATACCCGGGTACCTACCCAGCTCCTCGCTCCAGGATAAATGGTTGTACCAAAGATGTTAAACAATGAAATCACAAAAACATGTTGAAAATAGGAGTTTTTAAAATCCCTAGGAGGCGAGTGGCTCTCAAGCTAACACCACACCAGGTACCACAGAAGAGAAGATGGATCAATATGACTACGTAAAATGCATGTTTTTCATGGAAAATACACCACAAACAGAGACAAAACCAGGTGACACACTGGAGGAAAGTATTAGCAACACACACAAAACATTTCGCTGGGCGAAGTTGTTTAGTGCAGCATGACCCCAAGGCACCATAGGAAAAGGACAGAGGAAGGACTGCCCGGCTGTCTTGGGAAGGACAGTGCAGCCGGGCTGGCTGGGTGACCACAGGCAGCTCCAAGTTCAGGTCATGGCAGCCTGTCTCCTCAGAAACTGGGATGTGTTAGCACTTGAAAAGATAGTTTCCTTTACTGAAATTGGTCAATATCTCTGCTCATTTCTTAGGTGTATAAAGACTCATTTGAACTGAAATTTTTGGAAGAAACTAATTGCTTATATGCTGCAGAAGGCCAAAGGTTGATGCAGGAAAGAGAGGTGAGGTGATGGGATGTTTCCGAATCCCCCAGCTTCATTTCTGTGGACGAGCACCCGGGAGTACTTTCCTAATGTTTGCCTTTACACACACACGCAGACGTTTCATTGAAATCTGAAAGCTGCAATCTTGCCAGAATCCCCAGTAATGAGCTTCATTCTTAGTATACTAAGAATTTAGTTTCCTTAACTTAAAAACTATTGCACTCCCCCAACAAGTAAAAAGCCAGTAAGATCGTTTCTGAAATAAGTAAAATAACTCAAATTTAAGCAACATGAGAGCATTTTAAAAATGAAAAATAAATACAAATTATGAAAATTTTATTTGTGTGAAGCACTGAAAAAAAATTTCCCAAGAAAGCCATGTGAAAAAACATGTACTAGTAATAGGAACCCAAAAAGTGTACCCACTTTCCCAAACAGCAGAGTAAAATTGTAAAGGAGCGTGCCCCATGGACTGTCACCCAAATGGCGCATGCTACTGCCCAGAATGGACCCTGGCCATGGGTTCCGTTATCCTGGCTTTGGAGAGGCAGTTTCATGTCAGATGCTGGACCTGGCTGCAGCTACCCAGGGCAGAGTCTCAGACCTTTCCTATGCTGTCTTGGGAAACATGGGTGTACTTTGAGGTCTGCAGCCATTTTTGGTGTCCCCACATGAACAGCCAGCTTGTTGACTTGCTTTTGCTGACCCAGCTGTGCGGGCAGGGTTGCCGTTTAGCACCTCACCCTCCTACCAGGTGCTGCTCACTTCCATGTGGGCCTCGGGGATGGGAAGAGGCTCTGCACAGACCCCAAAACTTGATGGCGATCAGGGACGACAAAGAAGTGCAGCCTGGGCGCTTGTTCTAGGGTGGATGTCAGTATCAGGATCCTTTCTCCTTGTCCCCCACACACTTCCACCCTACCTCTCCCTCTCTATTAGTCTGTGTTAACATTTGGCTTGAATATATATGCTGCTTTTTAAAAAAATTAAATATAAGGAAAACAAAGTGTCCATTTTTTGGATGATGTCAGCAGTCTTTTTGTTACTGATCTGCTTGTTTTGTTTGGAAGGTTCCAGAATATCTTAACCATGTAAGTAAACGCTTAGAGGAAGAAGGAGACCGAGTAATCACTTACTTGGACCACAGCACACAGTAAGTACCATTCACTCACCGAGTGTTCGTATCTTCACCATGGCTGGAAGGCTCTCCTGGCTGGTTCTTGAAATAAAGGGTGTCTTTGTCAATTCATTCAGTACTTTCTAAGAGTATTTTTGCACCTAGCGTATTTTACTTATGTTATTTGTCATTATTTGGCATTTACAAATTACACTTTTTACCCAGAGCTTCGTCATGGTTTGTTGTTTAAATGGAGTAAATCTTGCTGAGATACCGGGCACCTCTGAGTTTTGAGAAGGGCTGTTTGTGTTAATGGAGTCTTACTGAATATTAGGCTATTTTGATTGCAAGCCTTCTGCTACACATTTTGTATCACTTTAATTTTGTTTGTGGTGCTGTGACTCGATTTTCTCTTTTCATCTGCTGTTGTTTTTCTGTAAACCCGAGGCTGATGAGTAGTTAGGGAAATAAAAAAGGAGGGATTATGTGAGCGTGCATGTCAGGCACAGAGTGTCCATTCTTGTGATGGGAGACAAGAACAGAGGCAGAGGGGAAAGCCAGGGAGAGACATGAAAATGAAAGAATATACAGAACAGGACTCAAGGGGACTCAGCAGAGACAGAGAGGAAGAGAGATGGAAGTGATACTATGTGCAGAACAGGACACGGAGGGACTCAGCAGAGAAGACGGAGAGGAAGAGAGATGGAA